ATTGTTTACGCTAAGAGCCTTCATTTTCTGCCCTTTTTACACTAAAGCATAAGTGCTTTTCGTTTTCTCTTTTCGGCATCTTGTTATATCAGTTGTTTTCCTTATCCATCAAGGAAAAGGAGGATTAGTTAGCAACATTTTAATTGTTTTTGTTCGGTTAATTTCATAGAAAAATAGAATAGGATAATTTAAGCTATTACTTAATCATTGCGAACAAGTTGTTGTTTTTCTCCAACAATTTGCCATTTTAATGACACCTCTACCTTGAAGCCCGCACATTGCGACGCAAATAGACAGAAAGTAACAATTGCGTTTTCCTTCTCACTTGTCAGAAAGCTGGGATATCGTGAGCAGTGATGAGGTGGTAGGTCAGCATTCTCAGGATGCTGTATTGGCACGGAGTGCTAATGTGAATGATTCGAGCTCTTATTGTCTCTCATCACAACCTCTGACGTCTACCTCATTCTCCAAATGGTCTCCCACCAATTCTACGGGCTATCTGACTCCCACTCTCCGTGCTGCTTGGGTCACTGGAACCTTTCTTCAAAATGTGTCACAACAGTTGGTGAAAACGGTCGGAAGGGCCATAAGTACATTTTCTTGTTATTGCATTTCGCTAAGTTCTTAACCTCTATTCATGTCTCACCACTTTCCTGCGCTTTCCTTCTGCATTCTGGGAAGGTTTTTTATTTCAAAATAATTGCTTTGGCGTTGGGCATATTTCTTCACACGGATCCTTTTGGGGTTTCTGCATTTCACCTTTTAATGCACATTTTATTTTCTTCATTATGTTGAATTATCGCTTGTAGCATGACTTAATGGACCTCTATGCCTTTGGCAGCAATATCAACTCCAAAGGCGCAATAGGGGTAAGACTGGGATTTGGGTTAGTTCCTAAGTTATTGGACAGATTTCCTAGATCGAGTGCAAAAATTCTCGTCGAAGGCCAATTTTTGCCTGCTTTACCAGTCGATATAACTTTCTTCCCTTTTTTAATGCAGACTTCAGGAGCGAGCCCCCGTCTCGTCCACCTCTTTCAGAGGCTGAATTTCGATGTTACATGGATGGCCTTGGAAGAATTGTGCATCCACTCGACTTTTAGTGCGTTTCTTTCATCAACTAATCTTATTCTTGCACTTGTCATTGCCTTACAAGCTTGGAGGTAACTGTGAATTGTACTTTAATGCCTTTCCTTTTAAGAAGTCATTAAAACATGGAAAACTACTTCCTCAAGAGTTCATGTCATTGCAGCCCGTTTTTTGCTTTTCGGTACCGTTTTCTTAATTAATTCTCTTTGGAACCACTTTGCTTCCCTTGAAGGCAAGATTGTCACTTACCTTTCAGTCAGAATGTCTACCTTCGTGGTATAGAGGTGAGCTTGCGAAAAGTTGCTTGGCGCATCCTCCTCAAGATTTACCCAGCTGAATTCAGTGGGAATGAGCGTAGGGCGTTTTTGCTTAAGAAGATTGAGAAATACGAGCTTTCGAAGAGGACCTGGAAACAAGCCTACCGAGAGGGTCGATTAACCAAGACTCAAGTAAATGCAATAACCTTGGCTTGCGTTGATGTCGTCCGTACAGATCGCAGTAAGTTTGTTGCTATCTCATGATCCTTTGATTTATAATTATTTTACACACCATTCCCGTATTTCTCTGTGGATTAGATCATCCATTTTACCATGGAGGTAACAATCAGAGGGTATCTCAGCTTTTCAGTATTCTCGCCACGTACGCAATTTACAATCCCGGAATTGGCTATCATCAAGGTTAGGAAACCACAAAATAACACAAATTACTTCGTTTGTGCATCAGAGAACGTTGCCTATATTCCCAGATGATTGGCATGTGACAAACGATATCTTTATTCTTTTAGGCATGTCGAACCTTGCTAGTCTCCTCCTTTACGTGCAAGATGGTGAGGGCGCAGCGTACGCCTGTCTCTGTGCCCTAATGCGACGTCTGGCACCGAAATTTGCTCCGCGCCAAGACCAAATAACAATGATTACCCAAATGCAGCATCTCCATGATCTCCTTGTTTATACAGACTACAATATGGCACAATTTTTGCGCATGCATAATCTGGGCAATATGTTTTTTACGGAGCGTTGGCTCCTCCTCGAACTTATTCGCGAATTTCCCTTTGAAGAGGCATTGCACATCTCTGAGGTACAATGGGCAGCCATTGCCCTTGTCGCCTCCAATTGGCCCGATGTGGGCTCCGATGCATTGTACTCACAACTCTCGTCTGAACAATCATTTATTACCTTTGAGGCGGAGGATATGCACTACACGCAGTGCGATACAAATTTGATTAACAGTTTAATTGGTGATGAATTCAAATATATTCATCCATGTACAAACGGGACGGAGAACGTTGTTGTCCCACCTTCGATACATTCCCCCAGTCACAAAAGCCAAGCGACAAAATCAATCCATGAAGGCGATCCAGTGCATATGAAGGATTGGATTGTGGAATTACCCTCACCTGATGCACTGGGTGGAGGCAGTAATCCTTTCCTTCTTTTTATCTGTGTTTCGATGATACTGGAATATAAAGGGGAGATTTTGGAGAAGGTTCATGAGGTTTGTGATTTATTTCATCTTTTTCAAACCTACAATAAGCGTCACAAATTGGAAAGTATTCTTGACCGTGCTCGTGACCTTTTTGATGCTTACCTGAAGGATCAGGAGATGAAACGGCGAAGCATTTTGGATTGTTCTAATTGGAATATTCACAATGCCTAAGTTATGTACTCTGTGATCACTTGACTACCAAGATGTTTTGTACAAAAAGAAAGTATACGTGATCATGTTCTTCGAGAAAGTTTTGTATATCATTCCTCCAGTTTGGTGGGTCATTTGCATCATTTATTCAATGCCCCTTTTTCGTTATGAAGTATTTGACAGGCGTTAGGGGCTCCTGTGAATGCGTGGTTACCAAGGCAGTAAGCTGCGCAGCCTTCTAGGATAAACTTGCACCATGAGAAATGCTCTGCATCAGAAGAGGGAAACTATACTGCCTCTTGAGTGTCTTCAGATTCTGGTTGATTTCTTAGAGCTTTCGTTGTTCGCGCTGCCACTCTCTCTTTTGGTTGGCTAGGCGTCTATTTAAGTGCGCCAATAATCGCACAAAGCTCAAAGTCCTTCAGTAACTATAGCTACCCGTAACTAGTGGTTGGGTGACTCACCTTGGCTCAATTAGGCGTACGTGAGAGGTAAAGTGAAATATGCTACTGTGCCTGCCCGCTTTGGTAACATAGATTTCCTGTCCCCCTTTATAACCGTTCTAAATGGAATATGCGAAGCAGGGTCCGTACATTTCCAAAGTTATCTACTATCAGACGATTGATGATACTGAGCCCACAGACCAAACCGTACGCATTCATCTAGTTTCGTTATCTGCGTTTTATTTGCCGGAGAGGGAGAGACGAATTTAAGATAATGCCGAAACCTTTATTATTCAGGTAGCCGAGACTGATACATCAGAACTTCAATCAAAATCAGAGGACTCTGTTTGCTACGTACGTATTGAAGGATAAAATGATCCTGCTAATTACATTTTTAGTTTATCAAATACTTTAGAAGCTCAGGTATTTATAACGAACTGGTAGTCTATTCTTTTAGAGTTAATGTTAAATGAGTATAACATCCACAAAAGACTGACCCACAAAAACATCATTCACTTGGTTGGAATCCATCAAAGTCCCTCAAGTGGAACATGGGGACTTGGTAAATTCCCATTTGATTTGCAAACCTATCGTAATTTAGTCTTCCCGTTTCTTCCTAGAGGGTAATGTCGTTGCAATGACCATACTTAAAGATCTCTTCAAAGTTTGCTTTGTCAGCGAGAATACTTATCAGAAAATGAATGTTTACTGTATTTTTCCGGAATTCTCGACGCAGTTATCTACAGTACGTGACTAACAATCCCTATATATCCTACATCTTCTACTTAACATTTGTTAGTACCATACCATAATCCCTTAAAGTTCATTCGATCGGAATTATACATCGAGACATAAAACCGGAGAATATGATGATCGGCAATAGCAATGAAATACAGGTTAGTACCCAGAACAATGCCGCATATTAGTAAGCTGATAGACTTTGGATCCAGTGTCGTGCTTGAGTCGCAAGACAATGACTACTTAAGAGGCACTATCGGAACCCCAGCCTTTCTCGCTCCTGAATGCGTTCAGGGTACAGGGGAAGCCTATTCAGGAAGGGTAAGGACATGCACAAACAACTTTTGACCCTCTACTAGAAAGCAGACATATGGGCATTGGGAATAACACTGGCACTGATGCTGACTGGGAAGGTAAATACCAATTAGTCGGACGTCTCAGTAGCACTAATAACAGCTCCTCTACGATGGGTTTACGAAGTATGATGTAATTGAGGCTATTAGAACTAAGCCTCTTGACATTGAAAAGAGGTAAGTATGCAAAAATACAAGCCATCTGCCACAGCGAATTGTTCAAATCCGTTGATATACACGTGATTAATCTCCTCGAAAACGCCCTAAATCGAAATCCCGAGGAGAGATTCAGTGCACTAAAATTAAAGGTACTATGATCTAAGAGTGTCACATCTGGTTTAGGAGATAACGTGGATAAAAACGCATCCAATGGTTACACAATTTTAAAGACCGTAAAAAATTGCATGCGTTCACAAATTCCGCGTCCTACACAGGGGATGACAAAGTCATATTTCTTTTCAATTTCAACCAATAAAATGCATCTCCGGAGGGAGTCAGTGTTGAGCCTCTTCGGATTTATTTTCCTCCTCTTGTTGTTGTTGCTGTTGTTTCTTCTGCTGACGCTGGGCAATTCGGTGAGCGCACCGTTCAAGAATGCGTTTCGCCTCGCATTCGGGGAAGTTAGTCATATCGTAGTACTGTGGTGCGATTCGAATCAACCTTATGCAATAATTAAAAGCAGAATGAAAAAAAGACCAAAAAGAGAAAAAATAAGACAGAGGCAAAAGCTCTGAGACTTACCAATCTGGTTTGACTTCAGTAACTGTTCGAATATAATTTTTGGTGGTGAGAACGAATTCGTTGTAGAGAACCCATTCAGGTTTGTGATCAAGCACAGTGGAAGGGTGCAGTTGTACCACTTGATTGTCCTTTACCGTCAAGTAGTGTCCTGTTCGCTCCAAATGCGCGACCTAGAGAGGGCAGAAAAAAGAAATGCTAGGCGGAGAGCACGGTCAGCTACAGATTGAAAGCACCTCCCTTCAGTCTATGAGATTATCAAAGTGCAAAAAGAGTTGTCACCTGCATGAAAAAGCCGGAGACCAGAGCTTTCCGAATATTTAGATAGTAGTCTCTGGACGTAAATTCTGTACTTGAACGCCGCAAAGAGAATCGGTCCATAATCCGCGACAGTTGAACGCGTACATTATCGGCAGACTTGAGCGATCGAAGGTTGATAAAATTGTCATAGCACCACTGAGGATCCTCTTGATCTAATTGAAGGACAGAAAAACAGTCAACTTTCGGAATGATTCCATTTCGTGCAGTGAGACAAAGACGAATAGTCTAGAAATTCATGCAACCACTCACTTTGCTTAAATGCATGATATACATTAAGCAGGGTTAGATGATCACCATCAATATGGGCGAATCGCATTTTGGCTTCGTCTGCAGCTTTTTTTGCGTCAGCTGGACGAACGAAACACTGCGGCACTGTAGTTCAATAAGTGGAGGGATTAGTTTAAGTTTCAATGTAAAACAAGAAAATGATGAAACATACCTGACAGCATGGCAGTAATGCTTAAAACCTCATTGGAGCAATTGTAATCACAGGAGGCAATCACCATCTTCGCAAGCTGTGGATCCAGCGGGAATTCCGCCATCATGCTACCAAGATCGGTGAGGTTGCCGTCATCATCCAGGGCTGCTAGATAATTCAGCAACTCTAGAGCTCGCATAAGCGTTTCTGGAGCTGAAATGAGAAGGAAATTAGAGACAACTCTTCTTAAAATCCCACCACTGAAAAATGTGAACTTTGAAGTACCAGGTGGATCCATAAAATCAAAGTGAACGAGGTCATCGATGCCTAGTTTTTTGAGCTGCAGCACTACAGTTCCCAAGTTAGAACGGAGGATCTCGGGATAAGTGTTGTCTTGCATCTCTTGACGATAGGCTCTCTCCGTGTAGAGGCGGAAGCACTTGCCCGGACGTGTCCGCCCAGCCCGTCCTGCGCGCTGCTGAGCGGAAGCTTTACTGATTGCTGTGACAAGAAGCGATTCGACGCGAATTCGAGGATTATATACCTTCTGTTTTGCGAAGCCAGGATCAATCACAAAAACAACTCCATCAATGGTGAGGGAGGTTTCGGCGATGTTTGTGGATACGACAACCTAGAAATACATATGATGAACACATAGACATGACATAGGAAATTTGACGATTGAATCCAAAAAACACTCACCTTCCTACCAACTGCACCATTTTTACGACGTGGTGGAGGAGGATCGAAA